GGGTGGTGTGTGTGTGTGTGTGTGTGTGTGTGTGTGTGTACATTCTTTTAATTTGGTCGTGCTCCTTAAAAAGCTCCTGGTTCTGATAGGTTTTGCTATTTTAAGACTATCACCTAAAGAATGACCCCATTTCCAGCACATTCCAAAGAAGAGATTCCCATATGACCTCTCTTAAAAACAGAAAGCCCTGATTGAGAGGTAGCTTCTTTACCTCTGAGAATTTTCATGACTCCCACCTCTGAGATGCTGTTCTGCGTTAATAGGTTGTCAGTCACGTGGTTTTTGGGAGCTCCTTCACCAGTCGTCCAGCCTGTGTGTACTGAGCACCTTCCTTGTTTTCGGTGCAGAGGCGCAGCAGTAAACAGCGCCCCTGGGGAGCTTCTACTTCTAGTCTTTGAACATGTACGTCCTGCTGGGGACACCTGGGACCCGTGCAGCCCAGGGCACATGTAACTACCTCATGGGCCACTGCTGCACACCCACCTTCCCATTCTCTGTCAGTCCTGAGATGTCGGAGTGACTTCGCCTGCGTTTCTCATTTGATCCGCATCAAGGCACTTGTTCACTTGTACAGTCAGGAGGAGAGCAGAGGACATACTGAGCCACTGATGCAGAGGGTGGGCTGGCCCAGTGTTTATCAGGAGCCCCCTCTTAGCACCTGCTGTGCTAAGTGCTGGAAATGCAGAGATTAATAAGGAATGGTCCCTGCCTTCCAGATGCTTGTGAGGCAGGAAAAGGAATAGACAGAAAAGCATCGCGGGCTGTGATAAATGCAGAGAGAGAGGTTCAGGTGATGGCAGAAAGGAAGCTAGGATGTAGCCCCAGTGTGTGGAAGAGTGTCAGGTGCAGAGGAGGCTCTCCGTAACGTGTACTGAGCGGATGAAAGAATGAATACATAGGAGACTAGGACCATCTTCCCGGGAAGTATTGTCTTACTAGGAGAAGTTGGATCAGGGATGAAAAGAGAAAGGGATTCCAGGCCGCTGGATAGCATATGTAAAGGGCGTGGGAAATACACTTGGAATACGGATTTGTCCACCTGATTCTACGCCCAGTGAAGGACACCTCACCTCTACCCAGTTACTTTTTCCATTCAGAGGACCCCATCCCACTGTGTTTTATGAAATAAATTTCCAGAATACTGAAGGTGAAGTGTGCCTCTTTGTCCTTGTAGAAATGATTTTAGAAGTGGTTGTCATTTTGGCAAGAACACACTAAAACTTTGTGACTTGAGCCGTGCGGGTCCCAGAGACAGGAATTCTGTAATGTGGGAGTTTAGGTGATGAACCGGTTCTTTTCTTCCACTTCCAGAAGCACAGGCACGCCGTCCCCCCTCTCTCCAATGCCTTCTCCAGCGGGCTCCGGAGGCTCCCAGCCCAGCGCCGGCAGCGCGGGGAGCAGTGGGCTGCCTCCCGCCGTCAGTACCCCCGTCACCATCCAGAACATGACCTCCTCCTACGTCACCATCACTTCCCACGTCCTTACTGCCTTTGACCTTTGGGAACAGGCTGAGGTCCTCACGCAGAAGAATAAAGGTAGAGGGTTCTGTGGTGGTATTACTGGGGCGTGGGGATTGGGAGGGGCATAATAACACTGTACGTATTTTATGTTCAGTTTTTCAAAGAAAAGAACTGCGTACCTGTTCCCCTTCTCACACTTTCTCCATTCCATCTGATAACCTAGTCACAGTCCTTCCTTGAGCCCTGTGGCGTGGGGGTGGGTTTCTGTGGCTAGATCTTAGCAAAATGAGATTCGAAGTGGCTTCAGCACCTTGCCCCTTCAGAAGTTCCGGTGTCACTGTTTCAGCCTGAACGGGGGTGCTTGCAAAAAGGCAGAGCAGACCGGGAAGGGAAGGTCGGCTGACCCCAGGCACGGCACCCTGGGGATGGGGAGTAGGGTAACCTAAGCACCAAGCTGATTGTTTGTTCAGCACATGTTAAGAAGAGGATTAGCGCCAGTACAAGAAATACGGCTTAGTAGCATTGTAGAGATTTGTTTGGGAGGAAGGCCCTTGGAGAAATCCAAGGTTGGGAGATGGCAGGGCGTGCTGCCCGAGGCACTGCTTGGGGTAGAATGCCACGGCGCCATCTTTCCTGACCGTGGGGAAGAACTCGGCCAGCTGCTTACTTTCCCCATAGCCTCTTGAAACTTTGCTTTCTTTTTAAGCAAACTGGTGATGTTTTTTTTTTTTTTTTAATGTGTTGGATGTTTTGTTTTGTGCTGTTTTATTTTTCATTCATGCATCCATTGATCCAGAGGTATACATTGGGTCTTTTCCAGGGTTGGCCACTGTGCTGGGCATTGTGGACTCAGCTCTGAAACAAACCTAGTTCCTACCCTTCTAGACTAGTGGCAGGACATGGAGAACTAGCAGGCTTTTGCAGTAGATGGTGATTTTTCTTTTCTTTTCTTTTTCTTTTTCTTTTTCTTTTTCTTTTTTTTTTTTGCTCTGCTAGATGAAGTACAGAATAATGTGGGGGATATAGTTTCTGGAACCTTGACTTTTCACATTTTCATTTTTATTTTTGTGTGTGCGAGTGTGTTTATGTGGTTTTGGTTTTGCTTTGCAGAATTCTTTGCTCAGCTCAGCACAAGTGTGTGCACCCTGGCCCTTAACAGCAGTTTGATGGATCTGGTGCACTACACAAGACAGGGTTTTCAGCGGCTAAAACAAGTAACCAAAACACCTTAACGGAGGCCCAGGTTGATCTGATGTCTTGGGAACTTTTTTGCACATTGGAAGCCTCAAGACATCCAGACATCTGTCTCAGCAGGACACCAGACTCAAGAAGAGAAGCACCACGAGTTGGCCAGGACATTTGTTCACTGAAACTCTCAAGAACTGTGGAATCATTGGTTGGACACGATGGTTATGCAGAAGCAGAGAAGAGGAAGCTGGCCCCAGAGATGATCTTGCCTTTCCTGACTAAAGGACAGAAGTGCAATGTTGCCTTTGTGGGTGTATGAGTGGTCTAGAAACATTTCCTTACTTTTTTAACCAGCAGGATGCAAATGGAATGAGGAGAAGCAATTTCAACTCTGAAAGCAAATTCACATCATCTCAGTAGCCACATTAGTTTGTTCCCAGAAGGGAGTTTCTTTAACAGTGAATTTTGGTGTAGGGTTTTGTGGATGTTTTCTTTTTGCTTTTAAGTTATAGGGGAAATAATTTGTTTAATAAATTCTAAGGGTCATCTATGAAACGTGAGTTGTGAAGGACTCCACTGTACCCCACTTTCCACCAGTGAACAGTGGCTTTGATAATACCAAGTATTGTCATAATTTATACAATTGAAGGCATCCCCCCCATTGCCTGGAGTACTGCACATTCACCCCAGCTCTGGTTTCTCCCATTACTGGGTCAGAAGTCAGCCCACATTGGAGTGGCAGAGAGAGAAGCTCCAGCACCCGGGGGAGCCATCTCGAGGTCCCCATGTAGGACAGAGGACGTGGTGCCGCCATTCCCACCCCCTCCTTCAGTGAAGGGCAGTCCGTCACATTGACTATATTCTGAATTTTCTACGTTGGGGAAGAAGGGAACTGGGAACCAACATTTGTCCGTGACAAGATGGCTGAAGTGCTTTTTGATTTTTGTTTAAGTGGCGCTGGAATTTGAGGTGCTGATCTGTGGTCTACAGTTATGTGGTAACTCGTGTTGTCTAACCAACTCGGAGTTTTGTCAGCGAACAAAGAAAAATGAAATCTTAGAGAGGCTATATTTTTGTGCTACGAATTATTTTATATTTATAGCAGAACTAGACTTTGAGAGCCCTTGATTGTCTAGGAGAAACTAACTTCCTGCGAGGCTGTGGCAATTTGGGGTGGTTAATTAGACTTTAAAAAGAAATTGTCACCGCATGCCTTCACTCCAGAGTGTTCTCAGTCAACTAGGTTTGATTAGATTGAAGAGAAACTGTGGCCTTCCCGTAAGTTGCTATTGCCAGATTCTGTACATTAACCCAAGTTTATTCTGAATGACCTAAAATGGAAAAAAAAATCCCACATATTCATAAGCACAGATTTTTTTCATTGAAACTTGGAGGGTTATTATTGGAAGCATTATTTTGAGTGCAGTGTTTTTAGAAGCCAGTTCTTTTTATCCCTGTTAGAAGTAGAATTTGCACATGTATTAACAATTGAGGAGTGAGTGTTATTGCTACAGCTCGTTTACTTTTCTCCCTTCATCCCGTCCTGCTCCTCTGCACGTTGTTTCGCACCAAGCATGCTTGACAGTGTCATATTTATTTATTAGTGAAGAAGGGAGCACCATCTTTATTTATAGTGAAGAGGTCTAAGGTCCATATGATGAATGTAAGAACTGTCTTGATAACTTGGTAACTATATAAAAGGGATGTGTAGAGGATGGGAGTGATGCTTATTTTTCACAATATGAATTGTTTGTGTGAAGCTGTTCCCTCAGTGTCTTACATTATCCAGCCTGTTCTCTGGTTCTCACTAGCTAGGACAGAGGTCTGTTAACCTCATGTTTAGGTTAAAGCCAGAGAATTACAGCAATTGTAATATCGGAGCATAAGAACTTGATGTGTGATCTTGATGGGCTGATTTCTTTGATGGATGTTCTAAAGCAAAGCCATGGTCCTTTTTAAACTACTCATCTAGAAAGGAACCTGTTGTTAACAGTAATTGCTTGGTAGGTTGTATGGTTACGGCATTGTGTGTCCGTCTCTTACCTGGAGACAAGATACCAGGATCAGGCTTATGTGGTTACTTAACATCTTTTTTCCTCCTAATCCCTTGGCTCTTCCGTCCCCCTCCACCCCATCAGTCCCCAGTACAAGCCACCAGTCAGTCTGGAAGGGTGCGTTCTTGAGCACAGGTTCTGGTCTGTGCAGACCGTGCCGAGTGTGTGTGTCCTGTCGGGAGCCACAGAGCCCCCTTTGAAGACATTTCCAAGTCAATTTCTCAGCTGTGTCTAAAAGAAGTGATTCCTTTTTCAGTGGCCTTATTCTTTGTGCGTTTTCCTCTCCCTGATCTTTATATTGAAATTTTATTTGTCCCTTGAAAAACTAATGAATTTGCAGAGATCAGTTTGTACTATTTTGATCATGGAGTATTTCTGATTCTTAACTGCAACATGCATCGTACCTAAAAGAAATCTTAATGGCTACTTTTTAAATAGAGTATGTAAGAGGTAGTGGCTGATGAATCCTTGATGTCCCTAAGGTCTTTTTGCTGTTACAGTTTATATAGAAATCTAAAGGGTTTTTAAGTCATTTGCACTTTTCCACTGCATGCTTAAATCCCCAAAGGCAAATTTTGTACTGAGGTAGATAATTGAAAGGATTAGATTATAAAATTAAGCTTTTCAATGTGTGAAGTTCTTAAAACAACCATAGTAGTACACACTTCACAGTGAGACACATACAAAAAACATCTTGAGTGAAAATTGAGTGTAAAAATCTTGCCTTTGCCACTACAGTTTCTAGTGTGTGTGTGTCTGTCTTTATTAGGGAATGGAAAAATACTGTTTTACTTTTTAAAATGTTGAATGTTTCTGTCCTTGAAGATAATTAAAATGTGAATCACTGAACATAAGATTTTAGCCAGACTAAGGGCCCTGCTAAACGGTGAAAAATACTTTACTGCAATTTACCAGATGACACTGGGTTATGAATGTGAAAACATCAGCCAGGTGCTAGGTGTGGTGAGGAGTGGCAGAGTCCAGCCGGCGTATTACCAGGACCGGAACTACGGTAGGAACGGGACTTACCTGATGTTGTGATTTAACTACCAGACTGAGTGGGGAAAGTCCCTGATTTTTTTTTTTTTTGGAACAAAAGGACCTTTATTTTATAATCTGTTTTGACAAAAATGTTTAGCTATTTCCCCTAGACAGATTGGACCACACTTTTCTCCCTTGCTTTATATCCTTAAATGCCCATTCTCAGGATGTTTAGAAGCTGACAAACTACTCTTTTCTGGCTGAAAACTTTCCTTAATTGGTACCTTAAATATTAATGTTAGTAGGATCAGGATCTTACTATTTTTTTTTAATGATTCTTCAATAATTTTTAGAAACAGAAAGAACCATTGTGCCCTCCCAAGTGGACAAAACTTTTATCTCTATATAAAAGGAAATATGTGTGTTTGAACGCACACATGCGCACGTGCGCTAGCTGAATTGGATATATTTATTGTGCCTTTGTTGACCAAACCTAATTTTGGAATAATGCTATATTTATTTTGCCATGGCTTTAAGAGATGTGAGGTGGATCTTGCACCTTTTTCTCTTCTGCTTCATGAAGTTTGAGGTGTATTTGTGCATCTTAAGGTAAGTGAATCAAATAAGCCTTGTTTTCCTACACCTCCCACCACAGATTCTACTTTTTTCTTAAGGATTTATATTCCCAGACACTACACAAAATCTGTGAAAAACTGAACCACTTCATCTATTAAATACTGATTAGTAGTATTTAAATCTTGCAAGAATATTTGACCTTTTAGAAACACAGGTGTAGAGATTTGCTCATCGTGGTCAGGATTATAGCGGTACTTGCTCCCTTCTCTTTCTCTAGTGGGTTGCCTCTTTTGTTTTTTTATCCTATTTAGAATTTATGGATGTGAGTTTTTCCCCTGTGCTTTATCTTTTGTCATTTTGTTTGTGGGAGGTGGAGTGGCAGCAGAGTAACATGGTGTTGGGGGATTTTCCTTCAAACATTGCAAGTGGTATTTCTACCAAGTAAACCTCAAACATCCAGTCCAGTTGTGCTAATCACCAAGAATCTGAGAATGAATTGTGACCACTGGCCATGTTCTTTAGTTCTTATTTATGAGGAGTTGACAAGCACCATCTACCACCTTTCTTAAGGTGGCTGTAAATTTCCTGTTGTCCTGGGGAAAGTCACACTGTATTGTGCTCCACAATGTGTCGGATGTTGACAGGTACTGTGATGGGTAGAGAAGTGCCTATATGTATTTCTCTCCCCAAGAGGGCAGGAGGGAGACTTACAGCTCCCTGTGAGCCCGGATAGTACTACACCGGCCTGGAAGGACAAGGGAATAAGACCACTGACAGCGAGGCTGACCGGGCTGCGCTGGTCAGACCGGGCAGTGGCTGACCTAAGGAAGATAACTTGCTTTGCTTAAAAGTAGATGTTTAAGCGATGCTTAAAACAGGCAGTATTAACTTTCGTTAATTAACTTTTGTTAATTTTCAGGCCATCAACATGTATTATTAAAATTACTGCACACCCCCCTCAGATAGCAAGTATACACTGTTCATGTTGGTGTGTGTGTGTTTATACACGATAGTCCCAAATCTTGTTTTGATTTTTTTTCTGAATGTGATCATGTTTTGGATGATACCTGAGCAGGGTTACCTTTTTTTTATTTATTACCATTATATATTATATTATATATTTTTTTGCTTTCTTATAACTTTAGAGGAAAGTCAAATCTTGGTATTATTGAAATTGTTTAAAAAATAAATTGTCCAGTTGATAAATGAAGATCACTGGTCTATCTCTAAAATAATATGAATTTTTCTTTAATTATTGTGAAATAACGTGCCCGCTGTCTAGTCCACACCGTGATTTTGTATGTAGGATAGGAAAGCAGCGATGCTCTTGGTGGGAAGATGTGCAGCACGGGTGAGGGGACTCCATGTGTTTTATCTACTTCAGCTGGAACTGCAACTTGGGGCTTCTGTGAATAAAATCTAGCTGCCTTGTGTAGTCCTTTGAAAGACATACGTGATCTGTGAGAATTATAGTTTTTCTTTTTTTTAGAAGAAAAATTTGCAAAAGATCTTTCCAAAGATAATGTGCCACAGATCTTTTGTTTGTTGTTTTCTGTAATGAGGATTAATTACTGTTTAAAAAAACATGTAATTGACTTGTTCGTCTTCAAATTCTTTACTTTTGACAAGAGGATCGAGCTGTAAAAAAAAAAATAAATAAAAATTTAGAGAAATCATTTGGGTGGAATCCATGCTTTTACTTGGCCTGAATATAAAGTAATTCCTAAAATCGCTATACGTAATTACCACTTACAGCCAAAGGAGTCTCACATGGAATAATGAGCCCTTATTCACACTATGTGTTTACTCTTGCAATGGGGGAAGTGTGGGCAGAGGACAGCACATCCTTCTGTTCAGTTTATTTTTCAAGAGCTCAATCAACAAAAATTAGCTTAATATCACCCGCATGGCTTATCCTAACATCAGCTGCCAGTGACCAAATTCGCCGATTTTCAGTTTGCTGGGTAGACAGATTGTTTATAGAATGTTAATATTGGAAGGAATCTAAGGGCCATCTGGTCTCTCCTCCTTTTGCCCCTCCGAAAGAAATAATCTAGGTGCTGAAATCTGACTTCTTAAATTCGAATCCTGGCTCTCCAGTCTGCTGTGTGACCATGGGTAAGTTACTTAACCTAAGTTTCTTTTCTCATTTATACTTTGTTGCTTTGGTGTCTGCCTAATGAGATGGTGAGGATCACATTAGATGGTGTGCTTAGCATAGCATAGTGTCTCTGGCATGAACACTCAGGCTGGTGGCTTTTTTTTTGTTGTTTTAACTTATTCCCTCCCCTCACTGCAGTATCACAACAGTTGATGCTCCAGTCTGACTGAACACTGATAAAGTCCTTAGTACCCACCTCCTCCCCTCTGATTCTTTTGTTACACTAGGTAGACCCCTACTTATGTTGATCCTACGAACAAATGGACTCACCCTTGGCAAGCTTATAGTAAAGCTGACAAGCCAGCAAGACCTGTGTGGGAAACAGCAGGTGTGGGAAAGGGAATGTGTTAGTCCTGAGTAAGGGAAGCTCCAGGGACAAGATCTCATTTGAACTAGGCCTTGAAGGATAATGGGTCATTAAACCTCTCTGATGGCGTTCATCTTTTCCACAAAAACTTTTTTTTAAACATTTTTTATTGATTTATAATCATTTTACAATGTGTCAAATTCCAGTGTTCAGCACGATTTTTCAGTTATACATGAACATATATATATATTCATTGTCACATTTTTTTCTCTGAGCTACAAGAGTTTGTGTATATTTCCCTGTGCTATACAGTATAATCTTGTTTATCTATTCTAAATCCACAAAAACTTTCTATGTCACATCTTGTCTATTACAGAGTTTTAGTAGAAGTTGTCCGTTGTATGGTTGTACCAATTTATTCAAGCAACCCCCATGTTAGACATTATTTCTGATTTGGGGATATCATAAAGAATGCTCCCACAGCCATTGCTGGAGCAAACTAGTTGGACAGATTCGATTTTTCATATTTTTTAATGAAAATGTGTGCATATGTATATTTACACTGAGTTACACTTCACCCCTAAAAACTTTAGCATGCATTTCTCAGGACGTTTTCCAGCATAACCACAATACCATTACAGCAGCTAAGAAAATTTCTCAACATCTAGTATTCAGTTCACATTCAAATTTCTGTAATTGTGCCTCAAAGGTCTTACAGCTCATTTTTTTGAGCCAAGACTCAGTCAAGTTTTAGACATTACAGTTGGTCATTATGTCTCTTTAATGTAATGTTCTGCATCTTGGATTTGTGTTTCCCTCAGTGTCCTTTAATTCATTCCCTTATCTCCTATGTAGATTCTCTGTAAGCTTAGGTTTAGAGGCTTGATTATATTTGGCAAGAATCTTTCAAAGGTGGTGCTGGGTATTTTGTATTGCATCACATAAGAAGGCACCTAAAATCGTCAGTGATGGTAACTCTTGAGTCTTTGGTTAAGATACGGTCACCAAAACTGTTAATAGGGGCCTTTCCCTGTTGCAGCCATCTTTCACTTACTGATTTTAGCATTCAGTGATCATTTACTCCTTTACCAACTGTACTATGTTTGGAAAAAACAAAAAAGGCGAAAAAAAGATCACTCCATTTGATAGGTGGGAAACAGTGTCTTCTGATGTTTTCATTTACATTTTCATTCTTACAGTATTTGTTCCCTTACATGTGAAGGTGCCGTGTGTGGCACATGGGTTACATGCCCAATACTCTAGACCTAGACCCAGTGTGAGTTCCCAACTGGGCAGATGTGGGGAAAGTTGTCACTTAAGTATCATATGGAATGAGTTCACAACTAGGAAAGGTTCTGTTAATGAACAGAGGATGCTGAGTAGTAAAAAAGAACAGATGATCCTTCCGGGCTATTCATCTTTGTTCCTCTTGATTTATATATTTAGGATATTAACCTCTTATGTTGTAAATATTTTTCTCCAAAGTATCTTGCCTTTCAGTTTTTATTATGGTACTTTTTAAACAAAGTTTGTTTAGTTTTAAGTAGGCCGACTTCTATCAATGTCCGCAGTTTCCGCTTTTTGTATGTAAGGACCGTTTCCCAGGACACTGCGAGGCCCATTTCCTATTGCTGATTACCGGTGGCAACTCTGAGGTGAGACAGAAACCCTCCTGTGTGTGTCCTTCTCAGGCTTTAAATCAGTGTTTAGGCACTTCTGGAGTTTGAGTTATTTAAACGAGCATTTGTTCACTTTTTGCCAGAGATGCTGCAAATATAAATTGTCACAATCCCGGCCACTTTTAATTAAGACATCTAGGTAGTGTTTAGAACCCCCTCAATCCATTCCAAACAGCTTTGAAGCCTAGTGGGTCTTCAGAATATAATCGAGGTTTCTCTCTAACTTGGTTGTGATTAGAAAAGTATAACCATCGAGCCTGTTTTGTCTTAGAACAGGATTCTGTCAGTGTTTGTGGTTTCCCCACAGACCACACTCAACTGAAAGCCAAGACTGCAGTGAGACAGCGAGGCTCTGATAATGAAGACCTGTGCCCTTAGAACAGACTGGAGGGTGGCTCTTGGAATGCTTTCTAAAAAGACAATTCTATTTTAACTTTAAAAGACCATGTGTCTGCTCTGGGTAAGTGCTTTACATCACCCTTCTCAATTTCTGGGGCCCAGCCCTAACATCTCGTTTACCTTATTTCACACGTCGGAGGCAGAAACAGCTACGGGTCTGTATCTCTCCACTGCTAAATATTCCTGTAAATTATCACCTGAGCAACACACGTGCATACATACACATATATACACCATTACTGGAAAACCAATTGTACTCAACTGCATGGGCTTCAGAAAAATGTCTTTAGTTAACTATTTAACTTCCTGTTTTTCCATCTTTGTCCTGTAGTCTTTGAAGAGATTCCAACGGCACCTGAGGTCTTCCCAAGCATCTTAAGGGAGTGAGTGATCTGGTAGAGTGGCTTTGCAGAGATCCCCCAAGCCTACAACTACAAGAGTTACCATTTTGAAATCTTGTAAAAATTGTTTCAAACTGATTTACAAATAGATTAAAAAAAAAAAGACACATGAGCATACAGAGCAAAAAGAATTTAGAGCAAGTTTACTTCATCCCTTCCTCCCCAAAGTAAACCATTAAGTTTGGCACACTTTGTGTGCACAGAACATTTTTGTGTACTTACACATTGTTTTTATACATAAAATTGGATATACTGTATTTTTTTCCACTTTATATGTCTTCTGTTAATCATTTTGTGTAGTAAGGCTATATCACCACTTATTTAAACATTCTCCCGTTATGCACATAAGCCTCCCCTGGCACCCCACCCAATTATTCTGCTGTTACAAACAATGCTGTACTGAGGAGTCTTGGTACACACATCATCATGCATTCTTGTGTTTCTAAAAGATAAATTTCTGGAAGCGGGATATCTGGGTCAGAAGATAAACCAAATTAAAAAAAATTTTGTTGTTACCAAACCACTTCTCCTTAGAAGCTCTTATACCAACTGTGGATGAGCTTAAGTTCTTGCCAGCTTTGGCTGCAAAGTGAAAAACAGTATTATGCTCTAAATTTGCATTTCTCTGACAACTGAAGTTAACCATTTTGCCACAAATTTATTTGGCCACTGGGATTTCTGATTCTGTGGAATGCCTGTTTTTGTACTTATTTCTGTGAGACTCTCTCTTCAGGTTGTTGACTGCCTCTGACATACTGCATGACTTCCCAGGTTTGTTCCATTGCCTGCACCTCGGACGACATCACAGGCTGCTTACGTTTCCCCACTTTTTCCAGCATTGGAGGTGATGGTCAATCCCTGACATGGATCTTCAGGATTTAAAGTTCCATTAATCTTTAAAACTTATTTCTTGGTCCAAGGAACTGACACTCATCCTGGATAAACTGGAAGCTGTAAAACATTGGCAACGGTTTGAGACCCAGTGGGCATACATAAGGAATTTCACTATAGGTTTCCCTACGGCCCCAGAAATCAAACCTAAAATTTGATGTGTCAGTCCTGAGCCTTACTTGACTAGCCCTATTAACTTCACATTTGCTTATTTTAAATGAAGGCAAAAAGCAAAGGAAGACTGATTTTTTTTTTTTTACCCCTGTGAAATTTACTCCCATCCAAAGTGTGAGTGATTCCTGTGTGCAAAGTGACTTGCTTCAGAATATGTGTCAGGCTGCCCAGCTCCTGGACTGCATGTCTCTTTCCACCCAGGTGACAGGTTAACTTCAGATCTGGTGATTTTACACTGAGATACCCACTGTCCTGCCTTGTCAGTGGTCCTAACACAGATGCTAAAGTGAACACCCTATGGTCACACTGTTCAGACTGGGTTACTTCAACCAACTAACTGTTAGGCGGAGGACAGCATTCCTCTTATGCTTATGTGTTGGTCCTGAATTCCCCACAGCAAAATGGAGCCATTCGGCCTTTTTTCCTTTCATTTACCTCATCCATGACACTCCCATCGCTCTAGCACAACAGGCCTAGAAAGTGAAAACATGGAGAAGAGGAAAGGAACATGTATTTTCTATGGTTTGTATTTTTAAAACCACCTTTAGATGAGTCGTTACTTTGCTTTACAGATGATGAAATTTAAGCTATGTCCGTGGTCAAGCAGCTTGTAAAAGATGAAACTCATTATGGTATAGATCTGTTTGACCTCAAGTTAGGAAGGGATTTTTCTTGAGAACAAACTGAAGGAAATGTGGCTTTTATAAGCTTTTTAAAAATGTCATCCACAAGCAATTAACATTTAACCGTTTTGGGATTTTACTGGGGACAATCAGTAAAACTGGATTATGAGCAGGAATAGGTTTTACAAAACAAACTGAGAAGGAAGTCTCGAGAACCTGCAGCCACAGAAACTTCAACAGCACAGTGGCGGGGGAAGGAGTCCTTGTCTAACGCTGCTTCACGTGCTGTCTTGTAGAGGTCCTCCATTTACCAGTGCTAGCCAAGACACTAACACAATTCTAGTGATTGCTGAGATGGACAGGTTTTTTTCTCATTTGTATACTATTTGAGGGCATGGATTACTTAATAGAAAAAAATTTAAAATATTAAATATGTGATAAACCTTTAAAGTAGCATGAAAACAATTTTTAGAAGTCATGAATGATGTAAAGTAGCCTTTAAAGTTTAAAGTCCCAGCAAATATGAAATAACTAAAACAGGCAACAGCATGAATTCCCCCTGGCTCTTCTAGGTTTGAGAGTAAAGGGACCAAATAAAACTTCAACTCAGAAACTGATGACTTAGAAGGGTCCAACTGGGGCCCATATAGGGTATAGGCATCTAGGCAAAACAAACATCCTCCTCTGTCTTGAGCAAGTTACCTGAATGTCTGGTACTCTACTTCCTCACCTGTAACAAAAAAGGAAGGAGTTAAAATGATATCCTAGAGTCTACAGTGAAAATATTAGCAATCAAACATTTCCCTATTAAATGTGAGTTAACTACACAGAACTTACCAAAAAAAAAAACCCACTGTCCTTCAAGATCATCAGGGGATGGGGAGTGTTCTACACATTTGTTACCATTGTTCAAAACAAATTTATAACATCTTTAAAACTGTTTGCAGAACTAGGCAGGCAAGCATACACACATACCCTACTGACTTTATGATAGTTTTTCTGGGAAGAGTTAAACAATACTGTTCATATAAATCATCAGACTTGGTTCCAAAACAAAGGCAGAGGATAAAATTTTGTCTGTTAAGTAATTCCAGAATCTGTTGTTTTGGCAATGACATTGGATTAATCAAAATCTCCACATACTAATTTTTTTAAAAGCAGTATTTGTTATAGCAACATTAAACTTCGGATGCATATTTAAAAATTTTAATCCCCAACTATTTCAATTTCCCTACTAGCCAATGCTTATCCTGAAGTTGAACAAACTACCTTCTGTCCTAAACCTTATACCCCTTTACCCACCCCAACTGATAACATAATTGATAAATAATCCATTTACTATGGCGTAGAATTACTGTATACCAAACTGCCACACAAGGATGGATGGTCTGGCCTCTCCTCTTGCTTCCATTTGACTGAAGCAGTAAATCAACCATGCGCAGACGCCATGGGTCCATCATGCTTTCTAATATTTTGTACTAGGCTTTTGTGTGTGTGCACATATGTATATATACACACATACAAATATACATGATCATTTTACAGACATGTCAGGAAAGTAAAATACATTGTTAGGTAAATGCATTGTGCTAGTGTAAAAATTTAAGAGAAATTTCATATAGGTACATTTTCCCTACTTTTTGAACATTTAGTGGTTTAAAGAAAGAACCTACAGTTTGCTTAAACAATTAAGTGTTTAGTTTTACTACCCTAATTTCCTGAAGCCACATCTTTGTTTACTTACCAAATATACATTCCTTAAGTCAGTCAGTCCCTGGCCGGGTTCCTTCTTTAGCTCAATTTTTTCAGTTTTAAATGTGCATCTTGCTCTCATTTCAGCAGAGCCCTAGGAGCCTGGGGGCAGCTGAGACCCATTCTAAAATTTTACAACTCTCTACAGGCATATTTACAGAGTGTTACCTGAAAATACCAAGGAGCCACCAGACATTCCACTTGTGTGCAATTCATTAAAAGGAATTTACATTCACTCCACTAGTAAGAATTATTTACTCCTCTGGCTCTAGTCTAAAAGGATGTGGTAGGTATGAGTCAACAAAACTGTGTCTGGCCTTTTCCTCCCCGACTTCATAAGCATTAGCCACTCCACAGGTGTAACCCTTTATACCAAAAGGTCTGAGTGCATAAAGTGGATGAGATCTGAAGCACAAAAGCTTCGTTTGAATATAGGGCACCTCCAGGGATTAAGTAAAAGCCACAACCAACCAGCCAAGTCCTAAGGACTATTAACAGGGGTAATTAGGAGAACATTTTGAACCTGGGCCTCAATTGGGCTCAGTGTGCTAAACAATGCAGGCACAACATGAAATCAATGTAAACTTTAACATGTTTTAGCTTTAAGCTTTCTATTTAGTGCCCTCTTCCCAAGTGTAATGTGTAGAATGCACCACTAGAGAGCAGCCATTTCCTATAGGAAAAAAAAATGTAGAAATATACACTAAACACAAGGAAAATCGCACTTCACACCCAGGAGAATGGTGATAATCAAAGACAAAGACAGCACAAAGCATTGGAGAAGATGAAGAGAAACCAGAATCCCCATACACCACTGACAGGCATATAATGCAGTACAGCCCCTACGGGTAACCGTTTGGTAGTTCCTTTAAAAAAAACAGCCTCAGCAATTCCACTTGTATGAACCCACCCGAGATAAATGAAAACATGTTCATAAACATGCTTTATGTGAACACTCATGGCATCATGGCAGCATTATGCCTAACAGCCCCAAACTGGAGACAATCCAAATGATCAGCCGGTGAGTGGATAAACAAAATGTGGTATATGCATAAGATGGACTAATATTCAGGGGGTAAAAATGCTATAGTACATATAAAATGAACCTCAAAATCATCATGCTAAGTGACACAGCAAGATGCAAAAGACTATACAGAATATAGTTTCACTTATATGATATACCCAGCAAAAGCTAATTAATGGACAGGAACACATCAATGGTTGCCTGGAGAGAAAGGCAGGGAGAAAAGGATGGGGAGGAGTGGAGACTGCAAGAAGGACGCGTGAAAGTTTTGGAAGCATGATGAAAATGTTCTAAATCTAGATTACGGTGATGTTGGCACAACTTAATAAATTTACTAAATCATGGGTTGTAAACATGGGTCACTTTTTTATTATATAAATTATACTTCAATAAAGCCGGTCTTCAAAAAAGCACAGTGATTTAGCACTGCATCAGAATAGGTATTGAGAAACGAAACAAGCAGAAGCAGGAAAATTAGGGCACTTTGTGTTAGAATGCAGTACAAATAGCCACTGTGTTGTTCAGTCCTGAGCTCTGGTTTCCAGACAGGAAAAAAGATAATTGTTTGCAGACGAATAGGGGGAAATCAGGGAATTTATGGTCAGGTAGGAATTTTATTACTTTTGGCCAAATGCCAAAACAAACTTTTTTTTAAAGAAAGGTTGCAAAGTTTCAGACAGAATGCAGTTATTTTCTGAATCTACATAACTACTCTGGAGTCCTATTTATGAAGGGATTTAACAGCAATGTGCTAAGGAACTGGTGTATATAAAATAACTGATACTTGAGACATGCAGGGCAAAGTGATACACACACCAATGCCAAGAAATCTTACATTTCACGAATTATCCTTTTATGAACTCCCAGTTTAAATTTAAGAAAGAAACTTTAGGCATGACAAAGATACGGGACCAAAAAGCTCATTCTGTTAAGGGCTACTAAGAAAGTCAACATGCAAACTTTACAGAGAAGTCTAGCAGCACATAAGAGAAAGGTTAAGTGAATAACAAGACAAAACTATGCCATCTGGGGGGCTCTAGAACAGAAGTGGCAACATTCTGCCGGTAGGGGTTATGAAAGACCTATAGTCTGAAGGGCTCTCCCACTACTGTTAGTTCTTAGATAATTATAAACATACTTTAAAATGCTTTACTGGAGTCTCAGGAAAGCAAGGAAACCTCCAAGGCCAATATAAAAGCTAGAATCTGAGCAGGAGTGGTAAGTAAACACAAAAGCCACGGATGCCCTGAGGACAAATGCCACTATCAGCACTGGGACTGGGACACCAAGCACTGAACCACAGTAAGACTAGCTGAACCTGAGCACCTAGAATTAGGCCAGGAGCCAAGAAGAGAGCAAAGATGTCCCAGGGCAGTTCCTGGCCTAGAGAAGCAAATGTGAAAAACACTTTCAGAAAGAACATGCCCAATTTGGAACTTGTGGATTTCCACAGATTCAATCAAGAATGCATTTACAAAACAAAATCATCAAACAGGGAAGAATGACACCATAAGGAAAAATTCAGAGACAATAAACAGATTTAGACCTCCTGAGACTTCAGGTACTGGATTTATCAGCCATGGGATACAGAAAGAACTATCTATGACCCACCCAAAGAAAGAAAAAGATGCAGCAAAAGAAAGGAATTAAGACTAAAAATCCATCAAAATTACCATGCGTAGCTAAGAGAGAATGAAGTAGGACTTTTGGGAAAGAAAAACCTAGTAATCAAAATTAAAAATTCAATGGTTTAACAAAAGGTTACATAGAGCTGAAGTCAAAGTTAGTAGTACGTAGGAAGACAGTTTAAAGTTCTAGAAAAACACGTAATATTCAAAGAGTCCATGAAAGAAATTTTCAGGGCAGAAAGATACATCACAAATATAAGAATCACACTGTATACTAGCAGGACAAATACAAAGACATACATAGATGCATCTATATTGAAACTACAGATCAGAACAGATGAAGAGATCTTAAAAGCAGCAGCAGAGAAACAGAAGATCCCATAGGAAGGAAGATAATTAGATGGCAGCTGATCTGAAGTACAAAGGAAACCAGATAGCAGTGGACTAATAACTTAAAAATAGAGAGAAAACTAGAATTGTATCTAGTAAAACTATCAAGAACAGTTAAGTGCTGTGTATTTGCTGAGAGTAAACCTTTAGCGTCCTCACCACACACCCACAGAAAGGTAACTGTGAGGTGATGGACTGTGATAATCACCTGACTGATAATCACAAAGTATGCATATGTCGAATCATATTGTATACTTTAAATTTCATCAATTATACTTCAATAAAGCTGAAAACATTAAAAATACATTTTAAAAGTAGTAAAATAAGGACATTTTCAGATGAACAAAAATGGAGATTACTTTAACAGAACTTCCCCAAAATAACTTTTGAAATACATCCTTTAGGGAAAAAAAATTACCTCAGAAGGAATGTCTGAGATACTAAAAAGAAAAATGATCAAAGTAAACCCAAATAAATATTTAATCATGTTTAAATATGGGCTGCAAAATAACGAAAATACTGAAAAAAGGTTGGAAGAAAACTGATGAATTTTAGTGCCTTTCATTGTTCAGAAAGGCATTTAACATACTGATTAACTATAGATTGTGAAATATGCAATGAAATTTTCAAGGTTAACCACTGCAAGATTGAAGGAGGTGGAAGGGAAACACAAACCAAAATCCTTCATTAAAAAAAAAAGGTTTTTGGGTAATGGGGAGTGGTGGGGTACTGGTAAAATTTCTGATCATTTAATCCTCCACCCTAAAAAAAAATTAACCAGCCAGAGCAAGTAGGATAAATTTAAAAAGCCTATGAACATCCTAATCAAACTAGGAGTTTCAGGAACCCCACAATCTGAGCAGGTATAAGACATTAACAAATGAGGTGTTAACAACGAGTGGGAGGAAAACCACCAGTACTGACCCACGAGAGAGCCAAAGCACTCACTGAGACATGTGGAGAACCAGCTCCAGGGCAGCACTGAAACTGGAATGTGTTTTTGCCTTTATTAATAGCAAGGGAGAACAAAGGGTCTGAGGCAGGTCTGAAAGGGCTGCAGTATTTTGGGCCCCATGAACACTTCAAAACTAACCAGTGAAAGCACCCTTCCAGGATAAAATCCCTAGGCACAGAATCAAATACACATCTGAAAATTACACTACTTAAAATAAAACGTTCAATTCTTTTAAATTAGCATAAACATAAATCAGAAAACTTCAACACACACACACACACACAGAGAAAACTAATCACAATATAGAATCTCAACACATTTCTCTACTGACAGGTCAAACAGCTCAAAGGAAAATAAAAATAGCAATATACAGTAGACTGAACAACACAATTAGCTAGTTAGATGTAATATACAAATACAGAAACTACACCACAACATTAGGCTTCTCAAGAATACATAGATAACAACAAAGTTTAACATAACAGGCCATAAAACAAGTCTCAGTACATTTCCATGAAGTGGAATCAAACATACCATGGTCAGACCAAATGAAATTAAGACATATTTGGTAATTTAAAATATACTTCTAAACCCATGGGTCAAAGAAAAACGTGTATTGAACATTTATAAAATATTTGCAAGTGAAAATTAAAGAAAACAGTGCAAATAAAATTTGTGGGATCCAGCAAATGATATTTTAAAAAGTAAAACTTGGCAAAACTGACTTCAAACAAAAATACTGAAAGATCATATAACCAGTAAGACACTGAATTGTTAATTTTTCTGCAAAAGAAACTAGGTTCAAGATGTTCAAGAAATGAATTATTTCAATGGTAAATAATTCAGAGAACAGAAAAGAGACAAATACTCCATAATTCATCATATATGTCATTTAACACTTGGTTAGACAAATTGACCAATGGAATGGAACAGAAAGTCCCAAAACAGACGTTTACTTACATGGAAATTGGCCATGTAGATAAAGTCCCTGGGGAAAGGATGAATTAGTCACTAAACAGTTTAAAGAAAACTGGCTATCCACATAGTAAAAAATAAAATTTGTTCCTTCTCACCCATAGACAAATCAATTCCAGGTGGACTGACGACTATGAGAGACTTTGACTTTTAGAAGAAACAAGAAATATCTTAAGACAAAGAACTACATTTGAATAGGTTAAAATTAAGAAGTTTTCTTTACCCCAAACCCCAAAGATAAGCCATAAACTGGGAGGAGATATGTGTAATAAAAAAAATGGAAATATTAGTAGCCTATTATGAAGAACTCTTGTATAAACAAGAAAAAAGAAGAATGGACAGAAGACATCAATAAATATTTCACAGAAAAAACAGGAATGATTAATAATCATGGAAACATGTTCAACAATCAAGAAAATGCAAATTAAAGCCACAATAAAGTATAATTTTATGCCTAACAGATTGACAAGAACCAGGTCTTACAACAGCAATTAAGTAATAAACCATATTGTAAACTGACATAACCATTTTGGAAAGTAATTTTGCATTATCTTGTAAAACTCTCATAAAGCTGATCAAGCATATATCTTACAGCCAACTCTGCTTCTAGGTATTTACTCTAAGAAACTTGCACATGTGTACCAAGAAACTATATATGAATGTTCATTTTGGCACTATAAAAGCAAAAAAAAAAAAAAAGGGAAACTATACCCAACATAAAATTAAAAAAAAAACAAACTGTTGAATGAAAAGATCAAGTTACCTAAGACATAGAGAATATTATTTTTAATAAAGCTCACCAAAGAAATTATGAAAGTAAACAATGCATGGCTTAGGTATACTGGTATAAAAACAGAAGGAAAAAAGGCAAAGGAATGATTAATTCTGGACAGTACTTACCTCTGGGAAGAAAGGAGGCTGGGGACTGGAATTAAGGAACACAGAGTCCATACTACCAGAAATGTTCTGGTTCTTAATTAGGGAGTAGGTATGTAGGTGTTTAATTAGTATGCTTAATAACTTTCATGTTGCATCTACTTTCATATATACATCAAATATTACATATAGAAATACAGTGACTAGTAGTTGCTAGAGGCAATGTATGGGGTGGGAGAAATGGGTAAAGGGGATCAAAAGATACAAACTTCCAGTTGTAAAATAAGTAAGTCCTGGGGATGTAATGTACAGCATTGTGACTATAATTAATGAAAGTACACTGCATATTTGAAAGTCACTAAGAGAGATCTTAAAGCTTCTCATCACAAGAAAAAAAATTTGTAATTATGTGGATGACAGATGTTCACTAGATTTACTGTGATCATTTCACAACATATATATATTGAATCATGTTGTACACCTGAAACTTCTATCTCAATAAAATAAATGGAAAGTGACAAAAAATAGTGATCAGAAATACATTTATACTGCTAAGAAGAGGCTATGAAAAAGATCATCTTTCCTTAAATATGTATGTACTACCCTGAAAAAGTAGAGGCATAGCTGGTTAGGTGGAACAAGGGAATTTTTAAGTCACAAAGAATACTGGTCAACCATTGATTAATTGTGGATCTTGGGCAAGTTACTTGTCTTTGAATTTATTCTTTTTAACTGTAAAATGCAGAATTACTGTAAAGATTAAAATGTTACTATAAAGTGACTGGCACAGACTATACATTAAAAAATTGTAGTTATTAATGCTCTCCAGGGCTATTACCCAAAATTAATTCCTTATATTCTAAATAGTTTGTTCAGGTAGACTGAATTTAGCCTCAACCAGTAAGATAATGTAAGAATGATTTATTAAAACAACAAAACCCACCAGAATTTCTGCATTCAAGTAAGGTTTTCCTCTCAAAGAAACAATATATTTTTGATACCTCTGACTCACTCATTTTGCAACTAGAAATCAGTACCTTTTAATTTCCCTCTCCTATTTCCTCCCCTCAACCTCCCCACTCTGGCAACCACCTGTTTGTTCTCTGTATCTATAACTCTGTTTCTATTATGTTTGTTCATTTGTTTTTTTTTCAGATTCCACATATAGGTGAAATCATGCAGTAATTGTCTTTCTAAAGAAGATAAATACTTTTTTACTCAAATTACTATTGCTTAGGGTAATTTTAGAAATCTTCCATTGGAACTGTTGATTTTTGAAAAAATTCTTTCCAGGAGGAAAATCTTAATTCTTTGCAGGTAGAATTTCACCTGTGATAATCATAAAATATTTTGAAATCAAGTCTGATGAATGAAGTACACAATGTCATTATCAAGTTAAGTTCTGGTCAAAATTAACATATGACTATGATGAGACTAATTAACTCTCAAGAGACCTAAAAATGGATCTTCAGGCTATTTTCAAAGAGGAGTTTCAGAAAAGTTTTTAGCAATGGCAAGATAGGTAGAAAAACAAAATTCATGCTTCATGAGGTTACTAATTGGAAGGACAACATCCATTTAATGCATAAAGAATCACATTTATATACTACAAGCCTGCAATTGCTGAAGAGACAATTGCTTAAATCGGCTGCTTTTAACTTTCAATTTTTGTAAGGTAACAAAAATCTTCCTATTTTCAGTTAAATATGAAGATCATTTCTTTGAGGAGAATAATGTTACAGTCAACCTACTAAATCTTTGTATCTGAGGGATGGAAAATAAACAATTACATAGTTGTGAAAAGATTCTATAAAAAGCAATCAATGAAAAACAGACTGTACAGAAAGCAGTTCCTATTTATAATAAATACACACAATATGTTTTGAATCAATAAAAAGCACTGATGTGAACCTAACTTTCTGATCTCAGTACCTGGTAGTATATATGATAATTATTCTGACTTGCTGGAATAGTACTACATAAATTTATACATGATTTTAAGAAAATATAGAGAAGTTTTATTGACACTTATAACTCTACATAAAGGAAAAAAAGAAAGTCAATGACATTCCAGTATAGTTTCTTTAAAAGTCTGGTATGATAAACCACAGAAAACATTCTTAACTAAGACATGAATTAGATTCTAAACGCATTCTCTATCATATAAGACATGGAAAGGAACAAAGAAAACTCAAGTTTACCGTTTGCAAGAGTAGTTTATACAATTTCAACAATCTCTTATCTAGGCATTAAGCTCAAAATGCATTTAGGAGTTAAGGGAATGAATAATACTCCTAGGAGGGAGTACAAAGTTTATTCATATATTTTAAAATGATCAATTAGTTACAGAGGATATAGTAAAATTAGTCAAAAGCAATTATCACGTAATTTGTTTTTAAAGTGGCAGTGCAACACAGTAAAAGCACTGGCTTTAGTAACTATATGGGAGAATCAAACAATATTTCTAGAAATATTTCTTAAAGAAATGTGTAAATTTTCACTTTTTTCTGTTTTCCATTTATAATTTCTGAATTTTAGCTCTATTTTATGTCCTTTTGGTAGTTATATTAACATCTGAAGTTAAAGTTACAGGCCTGTAGCCATCCTCTTTGAATATTTCATCTTTCTATTCCTATGGATATAATCATCTTTCAATTGCATGATTCCTTCTGCCTGATTCACATTGCATATCTCAATGAATGTTTTTAATAGAGACTGCATATGGATTCTACTTTTAATCTTTTCAAACCACTGTCAGGTCCTTCAAGGCTACATTTCTGCTCACACATGATGTAACAGCCAGCCACATGTTCCCTTTATTTCCATATTTTATGGGTAGCTAGGGGATCCACTTAGGATGTTAGAAGTCTACTGTATAGACAAAAGCAGTAATGGAAATGTAATACCTTCATGCTCCTATAATCTATACACATGACAAAGGCAGAAATATGTTCAAGAAAAAAACATTCTAAGTAATCTTAGAAACAATAAGATTCCCTCCCCTACAAAAATAAATATAACACACTAGTAATCATAAAAACATTATAATACAAGAAATGCATTATAATACAAGAACTCCATTAGACATGAGAAATAGCTGAAGCCAGGTTTTGAGCCTTATTCCCCACATTCAGCCAGTTGTAGCCAGCCCAGTGAGTGCTACAGAGTTAAATGCTTTTGGGACTGACTGAAATATGGGTACAGTTGTACAAGAGAACACTGGTTCAGATCCAACAATGACTTATGGACTTGCCCAGAGGCTGACAGAAAAAAAATGGCATAATTTGGGAACTTTTAAATCTGCTTCGTGAAAGACCTTTATCTGCTAGCCAAGGCTTCTCACAGTTTTTCTTTTTCTGATCGAATATACCCAAGGCACTAGGCTTTTGCAATGTGGCTTTCTGTCTTATTGTACTGATAAGCCCAGGCTGCCATTCCATGAGGACCATTACACCTACTAGGCAATGAACTTCAGGGCTGCATATATAGGGGAAGTATTCCTCACTGCCCCAGCTTCCTTGTGAACAAGATAACTGACCAGCAGTGAACTATACTAAGTCTAAGGCATGACTGAACGAAATTTAGGAAGGCCTGGAAGAGAGATACTGAACTACACTGCAAATACAAAATAGAATATTTTAATAGTCATCATAAATATTTATAAAATAAATACATATAATGAATAGGCCATTTTATAACACTGGTAAAACCATGAAGAGCAGTTAGATCAGTAGGTGTATCAATATCTAGCTTCAAATTAATGTAAAGAAAATTTCAATTAAAGTTCAATAAATACACGAGAGGAATAAATGTAACAGAAAAAACAGTAGTTCCAATTTTCCTGTTTTTACAGTATCTTGAACTAATCATAAAGTATAGTCTGTAAAGGGTTTTTATAAAAATGCATTCCTTTTCTGATAATAAATAAATCCAGATTCTGTACAGTTAGAAAAACTATGATGGTGGCAAATAGCAAAATAGAAAGTTAATAAATCTTGGGTTCAAAATCAAATGAATAAATCAACGAGGAGAGTTAAACATATTTTCAGAGTCCTTCCATTAGGGAGTCGTGTCATGAATACCATTCACTCTCACGGTATCTCACCTGGCACTAGAATAATGTCGACTCTAAAGCCTTCTTCTCCAGTATCTCCTCTGGCTCCATTTCTGCTTATTATGAAACAAATCCTTTTTGCGTGAGATGAAAAAATAAAAGTGTAGATTCGTTCAGATGGAAATAGTTCTGTTAGGTCTTTTGGTGTCCTAACAATTCAAACTGAAATTAAGGGCTTCTTACAGCATCCCTATAAAATTCTGAAAATGCAGCCAAGGGGCACTCAGAAAGGTGAAAAAACACTTTTTATACTTCTGTAAATATCCAAGAAATTGAAAAATCAACACCTAAAAAAAGCACACCATCAATTCATCAGCACCAAAGAGAAATGATCTTCAATTGGAGCAGGTCCATTATGTGTCCTGGTATCCTTGTGTTGATGAATAGGTTCTAACTTCCCCTCTAGGAAAAATCCATTGCCTAAGGTTAACACCTTTAGGCAAAAGGTAAAGCTCAGCAAATGAATCCATTTTACATTTTGATTCATCCACACTTTTTTAAAAAGAGATTTCCAAGTTTTGGCACTAATTTAAACATTTTTTTGGAGGTATGGTTTCAGGTTAGACTGTCTTCCTTCCCTACTTCGTTATTTGCTACAGTGGGAAATAGCAAATTGAACTTTATTACTAGTAATTCTTCAGTTACCATTCCAAAAGTTATGCTTAGTCACAATACAAGTTTACATTTAAATAAGACTCTAGTAGTTGTTAAAACTGTTCAAAGGCGGTCATTACAAAATCCTAGTTGTCTTTCTTCCCTATCAGATATGACTAAATAGTTGGTGCTGGAACTCCCATCACATACAGTCAACCACATTACTGGATCCATGACCTACATCTCGAATTTGGCTAGTTAAACAGGCACACACAGCTACACCTGCTCCAGCTCTGCAGTGAGACACAGATCCAACAAGCTCCCACCTGAAAAGACAGAAGAGAAAGAATGTCATCTTAAAACAAATCATGATTTACTTTACTCAAAAGACAAAACAAAACTCCCTATTATGGGACTGGTTTTGAAAGACAGGAAAAGCTTCCTAGGGGAGATAAGATATCCCAAATGTTTTCTATTAACTACATCTAGCAGCATTTTAGCACTCTGGAGTAATGTTACTGAAAGAACCCATTAAAGCATAGAGGAAAAATAAAAATTACCTATTCAGCACTGGATCAAATGCTTCTACTGTATTTAAGTATGCATTGCCATTATGACCACCAACTGCAAAGATTTTGCCCATCACTGTCGCGATCCCCACTCCACCCCTGGGAGTGGTAAGGGCTGCTACATAATCCCACTTGTTGCTTCGAGGGTCGTACCGCTCAACTGAACTCAGAGGAGAATTATCATCAAAACCTCCTACATGAAGAAAGATTTTTAAAATAGCATTATCTTTCACAGAAATCAACCATTCAATCTCAATTCAATAGCTTCTACAAACCAAGCTTTTCAAAACATTTTAGAAAATCCCACCGTCTATCACTACTACCAACTCCTATTTGACATTTTCTGTAATTCAAGATAATTTAAATTCTCCTCAACACTAGGATTAAAAATCTTAAAGTGGGAAAAACTGGAGTCCCTGTATTCAAGCAGATAATTTAGGAGAAAAGAAAAAAGCCCACAACATTCATATAATTTTTCCTTAGCCTCCTAAAGGCAAGCAAGACAGTACTGAGATTCCTTCTCATGGTGTATACATGTATATATTAGATTTTAAACAGCAAGAGGGCTTGAGAAGAGAATAAACTACACTAAATCATCTGACTCTTTTAGGTCTAAGTTAAACTTTTCCAACTGTTTCCCTTAGTCCTATAATTGCCATAATTACAGAGATGGTGGACTATGACTGAATTCTTACTGATTTTTGCCAAAACTATATCTTCGTGCTATATATTATAGATGATGATAGTCCTCTCTATAGATCATCCCAACAATGTTACTTATTATGTTCCTGAGGGTTAAACATAGAGACTGTCCTTTTAACAGTGCTCCTTCCTTTAAAAATAAACGTGTCTCTTTTTAGGCTCCATCTCAGTCTATGTGAGTAACAGCTCTCCCTGGTGACTAAGCCTATTTTCCTGAGGACAGGAAGTGCTGATATTATGACCAGTCTATTTAGAAACAAGGTCAGCTAAAAAAAAAAAAAATCAACAAAGTCAACTTCTCTAATGAGTCTAATGAGTTTAATTTTATTTAATCAACTGAGGTAAAATCCACTGATCACAGTGCATATTTCAATGAATTTTAACAAATGTATGTAGCAATTTCATCACTATCACAACTATATTTTTTCATTGTAACAAAGGCTTTAGTTTTAATTATTGCTCATGCTCATGTAGAAGATTAAGTTTTTAAAACAGGGTATTTATACTTTTCTAGCCCACTTTTTCATTGGACCCCCTATCACTTTCCTAGGTAATATATATGAATTTTGAATAAAGAACTCAAAGCAGAACAGAAAAGGTAGGATGCAATTAGCTTCCTATAAAGTTACCTTCAAAATTTTCTTATTCAAATCGGTAGTACCTGTTTTAAGTAGGACTTGAATGACCAAGAGGGTTTGTTTTTAAGGTTCAACCTTAAGTCAGTCTTATCTTTACTATGTCTGTTCTACCTATAAGGGCCCAGAAGATTTAGTAAGTAACAGCAGCAGTGATACTCCTATTGACGTACAACACATATCAATGCCTATGCTAGGCAGGGAGCTGGGAGATGTAAATTGTTATTTCTCTTCTTGTTTAATACACATGAGCACTGAAATATTCAGTAATACTTCTATTATTTGCAGACATTTAAATGCTAATAATATCCCACTCTCTTATCAAGAACTCTCAGTTCTGTAACACAAATTTACATCAACATAAGAAAGTGTGACATATGCTAGCGACCTCCTCTCCAAATTCATCTCCTCCTCTTGTAAAGGAAGGCATTATTAATTACAATCAATATATCTACCTATGTACTGGTAACAAATAACAAACACAGTTTGAAATGCTTAACATAAATCATCTTGGAGTCTTAAAATAATTTTTAAAGACAGGCATTATTATCCCCATTTCATAATTCTTTAAAAACCTTGCTATTGGAAATGTGTTAAGTGGACCAGAAATAGCACCAATTATCACTTGGGAGCTGCTAGAAATACAGAATCTGGGCCTCGCCAGATTATTCCTATCCACATGAAAGTCTGAGAAAGTACTGCCTATAGTTCGCTCCAACTCTATTATATAGTAAGTCAGAAAGCAATACAGAGATGCTAATAGCTATTATGCATATGAAATACCTATTGGTTTGCTTAAAGTAGTCAACATAATTCCCTTGAAATGAAGATGAGAAAAACATGTCTTAGGTCTTTAAATATTTATTTTAACAAAGCACATTCAATCTGTATCCTGACATTAAAAAATGTCTTATTTAAATGTAATCCCCTACTTCAGATTACTTGCTACTCTTAGTAAAAATATGGAGGTAGAGTTTAAACATGAAAGATGAGATGAAAACAAAAAAGCATGAATATGAACCTTAAGAATTCAAAAGCAGATCTTAGGACTGACTCCACTTGAGCCTAAATGCAATACAATTTGTGTTACTGTGTTTATGTCCTGTAAAAAATTAAATTAGAGAAATACCATCCACTTACCAACAACGTATAAGCAACCATGGAGCTCACTAACTCCATTGCCTGCTCTTCGCTGACCCATTTCTTTAACTTCTATCCACTTATCGAGATGTGGATCATACCTCTCCACACTAGATAGAGAAGCTACTCCATCATTGCCACCTACTGCATAAACATGGTTCTAAATAAAGAAAAAAATAAAAACACATGACATTAGATTTTGAATTGGTTTTTCTGCTAGTAGACTAGAATATGCGAGTGAGCAGTATTTCATGGAAGAGTCTGGGGTGTAATCACTATCTGCATCCTGGAGATATGAATACACAGGTCTTTCCTTTTTGGTTAGAGATGTGATACAATCCAATCCAGCGAGCAAGCTGCAACATAACTTACCACAAGAGCCACAGAGCCGACTCCTCCACGGGGAGTGTTCATTGGTGCCACTGTACTCCACTGATCAGATTCTATGTCATATCTCTCCACGTCGTTGAAACAAGTGTTGTCATCTAAACCTCCAATTGCATATATTGGGCCTCCCAAGGAGGCCAAGGCAATTCCTCGCCTGCAAAAATAATAAAACACTTTAGCATTCTGATTTGTTTCCAGAAAAAAGGTAGCCAAAAAATTGTGCTAATGCCCCCATTCATCATGTTAAACATCAATGTGGCTTTTCCCCATTATTTTTAGATTTATCATATCTTCTCAACAGAGGGCTACAGGGCTGCCAAACTGCAAGTCTATGAACAGCACCCTTTGGAGTTTTATGAAGCACAGCCTATACAGGTGATGCCAAACTCAAACGAAATAATAAAGGAAAACCCAACAAAATACTATAAATGGAGTCCAAGACATTCAATTAGTAAAACAATTTCATATGAGAGGCTGATGAACTCAGATGATTTGCTAGAGAGGTCAGAAGTCAATCTCATTACTAAATTCATGTAATTGAAGACCACATTTTGTTGCAGTTCATTATATCAAACAAAATAACATCAATTTTTATATTACAAGCTTTGTATCACATTGCTCTACTTCTGAAGGGCATTTATTTATCTTTCTGGAAAGGAAGAGACTTAGCCCATGTTATAAGCTAATTCATTCGTAAGAGTGCAATCCCATTGTATTCACAGTCCTGTGAGTACATGGGTAGGAATTTTGGGGGCCATCTTAGAAATCTGTATACCAAAACAAGGAATTGAAAGAAATATTATTCACCTAAAAATCTTAAATAGAACAAACAAATGATGAAGTTTAATAGTGAGGTCAGCAGTGCTTTTTGGGGAAACCCCTTTAGAAAATGACGGGAGTTATTTAAGCCTTCTCTGACCTTTGGATTATGGGCTGCATCAAATATTAACAGTAATTTTCCAAATTTTAACATGTGGTCTTTCTGCTGTATCAGGTGGCCTAAATTTCATGAGATTAGTATTAAACAGAAAGGAGATACAGAAAAGGAAAAAAGCATTATTTAAGCCAGGATCTCACTCTTTGTCTGATATTATCATTATTGCAGAGCCTTCTGAATAATGAACATGATGTGGGACTGCTTGAACCCTAACCTCATAATCTCACATTACCTATTATCAATTATCTCAACATCAAATAGTTGCTTTGTCTTTTCCTTGAATTTTCACATTACACATTACTGTCATTGCCATGTTCTTGCCTCTCTGCAAACTCTGAGAGTAGTTGTCTATAAAACCTGTAATGATGAAACTATGTTAATGTAGAAAACTGAAAATAAAACTATTATGATGTTTAGTACCATAAGCCAAGAGCTATAAAAATACTATCTTTAAAAAGATAACTATGAGTTTGATACTGAAGTCAACGCCACCTTACACATAAGGAATGGGGCTGATGAGGTGTAATTTACTCAGGGCCAGACAGTTTGAAAACAGCAGAGCTAAGAGTAAAACAGTTAGTCAGACTCCAAAACCCACGCTCATAATCAAAAGTCATAATTTCTCCTCATTGTACTTAACAGATGTATAAAGCTGAGCCCCATACATGGTGTAGAAGAGAGCATGAAACAAGATGAGAAAACTTGGAGAACACTGGAGAAATGGAAGATAACAGAGAAGAGAAGTGGCCAGTGAAAATATCCCTATTTCAAAACCTTTTTATTTCAGGAGAGACTTACATTACAGAAAAGTTTCAAAAACAGCACAGAGTTCCTATATATCCCATACCCATTTTACTTTATTATTAGTATCTTACTAATGTCAAAATATACATATAAATTCATAATACAAATGATGATAAACGTATCAAAGTATAAAGAAATGTATAGTACCTGTTTATAATTAATAAACCAACTTACTGATACAATAAAAAGCTAATTCACTGTAATGGTGACTGGAAAAAACTATACCAATTTTTTTTTAACACACTGCAGCAATAAAATTTGATCTATTCTAAAACTTACACGTCACTGACATGGTATATACTTTGGATAAAAGTGTACTGTATAAACCTGTACTACTTTGCTGCTTCATCTGTAATTCATCTGAGGAAAAAGCAGACACAGCTGATCCGAATGAGTCAATAAAGGAAAGCACTATAGTGACTGGCCCATATTCTGTGCCATGTATTAGCTACTATCACTGGAGAGAGGGCTGCTCTACTGAAATTCTAACTTTCAGTTTACCAAGAGTATCTTAGGAAAGAAATTGTTAAGGATAATGTTGTCATTCATTTTGTCTCCTTAACCTTGTAAGCAATGACTTACAAAATACTGTGGTTATAAACTTTCAGGTATGGGTGAACTCGTGCGTGTGCACTCTAGAACATACCAGTGTTATACCATGGCGAAAGTAAGTGTGCCATGTGATTTCCCCCCCAATTCCTAGCCCCCAGAACACAAGAGCATATGACATCATTGGTTATTTCCTACTCCTTAAAACTCTCTTCTTTTGATTTTCATGGCATCACATGTTTGAGTTCCCTTCTACATTATCTCTCCGGCTGGTACTTTTCAGCTTCCTTTAACAGTGCCTTCTTCTCTACTCTATTACTAAATTACAAAGTTCCCTAAGACTTCTTATCACACTATACTCTCTGCAGGTAATCTCATCCTTTCCATGAATTTATGAGAGCTCTGATACATATTTCCAGATGTGTATCTAACTTTTTAAATCTACCTGGCTCTTCAACCTTAACTTTAATCTGAAATGAAACTCACTGTTTACCTCCCTGTGCTAGGGAGATTTTAAGATATCTCCCCCAACAATATTCACCCTCAAGTTTCACTCCTATGATTATGCTACATTATATGGCAAAAGGGAGATTAGCTGAGTGGGCCTAATCTAATCACACGAGCCCTATAAAAGCAGAGAGGTTTCTCCAGCTGGTAGCAGAAGTCAGATCAGAAACTCAGAGAACGAGGTGAATTCTGCAAACTGCTGGTTGTTTGAAGACAGAGGAGAACACCTGGAAAGCACCTCACAGTGGCTTCTAGGAGCTGAGTGACCCCTGACCTACAGCCAGTAAAAATGAGAAACTCGGTCCTATAATCCCATAGAAGTGAATTCTATCAGTAACCTAAACGACCTTGGAAGTAGTCTCTTCCTCAGAGCGTCCATAAGAGCCTCCAGCCTACACCTTGACACAGATATCTTGTGAGACCGTAAGTGGAAAACTCAGTAAAAATTGCTGGACTTCTGACCTAATAAATGAATGTTGTTCTAAGCTGCTAAGCTTGTCATAAATGGTTACACAGCAAGAGAAAACTAACACACCTATTACAAGAGAAACAAAAATTTTATCCTATTCACCATCTTGTTCTTCCCAGTGCAGAAAATCATACCGCTATCCATACTAAGTTGTTTAAGCCAGAAACTGAAGGATCATCATTGCCTCTACCTTATGTTCTTTCTACCTCCCACATATAATTATCATAAAATCTTATTGATTGTACACTTCTGAACTCTCAAATATGTCCTCTTTTCTCTTTCTTAACTTCTACCACCTGAGTCCAAGCCACCATTTTTTCTTGACTGAAATATTACAATAACCCTTTCAGTCCCCCAGACTTTTCACCCTGGT